TCCATAAAAAATATATGTCAAAAACATGTGTTCTCAAAATCTTATTCCTTGAAAATAATGCAACACTTTAAAAAGGGTTGTCAGTCGCTGCTCGTCAGTGTCGTCGATAAAGTAAATACATGTTTACTCCACAAATTTCGGTGCCACGCCATGTTATACTTGCCAAACGCAGACAACATGAATCTTGATAACATGCCTGCAGTGCTGCCCCTTTATTCTAAGTTTCATCACCAACTTTTCTCCATCCTTATAAACCCCAAACTTCCACATCATCCTCATCATCACCACTTTGATTAAACAACTAATACATAAGAATGGGAAAGGGATCTTTTACGGATCCATTCTATCAAATTCACTAATTTGGGTTCTTGAAATTTAATTTAACGGCTAAAATTATTATAACTTTTAAAGCAGGCTTCTATTTTTAACCGTTAGATCAAATTTTAAATATCCAGACTGATGATTGATGGATTTGATGGAAGAGATCCGAAGAGATCCCTTTCCATTATAATGTACATCACCCGAAAAGGCCAAATTTTTATCATTATGTTTATATGATTAATTATTTACAATGAGTGTTTTTTCTCGACAAGACTTCCCTTCTTTCTTTTGTTCTATGAAACATCGGTTTGCAACCTATTTATCTCTTTTTACTTAATTTTTATCTTGGTTATCCACTTGGTTGATATTAAGGATAATCACCAAATAAACTGAAAGTAGAAAAGAAACGCATTTATAGTATGAAAATAGGAATGGACTTTCGCAAAAAGAGAATTCCAATACTTCAAATTATGTTACATACATTAAAGGCTTATAGCCTATCAGGTGACGAATTAACCATTTGGATTATTAATGAGTACTCGTTAAGTTTGTTTTCACCTTACAACATCATAATCATTATCAATATCATCTTTATATTGTGATGATATCAAATTAAACGGGTCTTAACGGTTATCAATTAACAATTCAATGAATTGATTTGCCATCTCTAGATCAAGGTTTGAATGTAAATCTAAGATTCAACAAGATGTGAATTCTTTGGCAAGTCTATGAGAATAATTGTAATATTTAAAAAAAAAAAAACATGATTAACTTAGATATATCTATTAGCCATGTCCTAATCTTGCGCAACAACTGTGATTATAAATAATAATAATAACGAAATTAATCATCGGGCCCAGATTTTATTTGTTGTTCAATTATTTCCCTTCCCATTTCACACTGTTTGACAACTATCTAGTCACTGCAACTTTCCTTCACAGTTCACACTATTTGTTTACTTATTTTTTCTCTCTGCTGTTTCTAATGAAGCTATTGAGTTGTTCCCAATTTTAATGTTTTAATAAATCATGTCTCTTTTGAGCTGTTCATTTGGAGATGCCTAAGTTTATCTAATAAATAATAACAAAGAATATCGGGTCAAAACTCTTTGTTAGGTCAAAACTCCAAAGAACCTTTTTGCTACCTTATTTCATTTGTTTAGTTGATAGGTAATCATGATCCCATACCTTCCGCTGAAAGCAAATCCCACCACCCTTTAAACCTTTTTAGAAGGGTGCGTAGCTTATCATATTGTGGATAATCGTGGATGAAGAAATAATCGATCTGCAGATTATTCAAGCTTGTGAAAAAAATTAAGGTTCAATTATAAAATTAATTGGCAATATGAGACTCTTTTACCTTTACATTCTATCATTTTCAAACAAAATTTGCATTACTCACACAATGATCTTGAGAGCACTCCCAGAACCAACGTAATGAAAAGTCAGTCTCCTAAATTTGTTTGGTTATGTGAGGGAAGACTCCGTCAATTTCACACGTCAAAGCGTGGAAATGTGATTAGACAAGAAAATAGAATGTTCTATCTTCATCTTCTATGGTTTATAATTTGTCAAAGATTCAAAAGAACAATGCAGTATTTAACTAATTAATTGTCATTAACTTACATCTTTTTCTTTGGTGATTAATTAGTTTATATCTTATTTATGCCATGAAATTATATTATATGTTCACGTGTATGTTTAATAAAATTTTCTAATTTCGTAATACTTAGGTTGTTTCTTACTTAACATTTTATGTTCAAACTTTTAAAATATATATATATATATATATATATATATATTTGCAGCCAAGACACGAATCACGGGTTTTCAATTCAGTTGCCTGTTCACATTAAACTTGTCGAATTTGGGTAGAAACCTTCATATGGGAAACCCTAAATAAGAAAAAAGGAAGGAATACTTTCTTGGTGATGGAAGAAAAGAGTGGTTAAATTTGTAAAGTGAAAAAACCACCTGCCCACCTTTGTATGGGGTCTCTATCAAACGTTGTAGCCTACAAAAAGTTCCAATTTCTTTTTCGTTTTTAATTCTTTTTGTTTTACAGGTAGTTTACTTTTATTTCCTTTTGTTTTGCAGGTAATTTATTTTTCTAAAAGTATGATTTTAATCCTTTAAACTTAATTTTTTTTGATATAAAATTTGACTTTTTTTTTTTACTTGAATAAAACCGAGTGACTAAACTCTATATAAATTGATAATTATGTTAACTTTACATATTCTATCTTTTCAAATGCATAAATACTCCTATTTTATTCGGATTTTAAGGGGATTAATGATTTTATAAAAGAAAAAAGAAAAAAAATACACTAATATTCTAAATTCATTGTATGTTATATGAGAATTTTATGATTTTCACATTTGTAATTAATTTGGTTGTAATTGATCATGTGCATTATGTTGCCCTCACTGCATAAAATTTAGAGACGAATTTCATGTCTGTATTTTACACGGTATGTCCTGGGTTCAGTTTTTAGGATTGGTGAATCACACGATGGTGGTCAGGGAGATGCTGCAATGTATCTGTGAGTCTTTTCGGCCCCGTAAAGGGAGAATGCAATACATAAGTCACCAACATATCTCTTTTTTAAAAGAAAAGAAAAACAATATTTTTCAGTTTCAGTATACTTTTTAATGAAATAGTCTATCTACTAAATCGTTTATTACAAAAATAATGTACCTATAATTTTTTTTAAATAATTTACCTACCATATAAAGTTTGTGAAACTAATAATGTACTTATTGGTATCTCTTAGTACTATGGTCTGGTGATATTCCTCTTCACTTATAAGTGAGAGGTTTTAAGTTCAAATCTCGTGAATAACGAATTCGATACCAAATTAAGTTGCCCGGTGTGTGGTTTAGCCGAACTCCCCCTCCTTTGGTGTAAAATGTCACATCCCGGCTCGGGCCCGACTCCATCGTAGCACGATATTGTCCGTTTTGGGCCCCCAGCACACCCTCACGGTTTTGTTTCTGAGAACTCACACGAGAACTTCCCGATGGGTCACCCATCCTGGGAATGCTCTCGCGCGCTACTCGCTTAACTTCGGAGTTCCCATGGAACCCGAAGCCAGTGAGCTCCCAAAAGGCCTCGTGCTAGGTAGGAATGAGAATATACATATAAGGATCACTCCCTTGGGTGATGTGGGATCTTACATAAAATATATCGTTGTACTGAAAGAAAAAAAAATATGTACTTGTTGTTTAATTTTAACAAAACTAATGTACCTACGAAACTAATTTACTTATTGTTTAATTTGAGGAAAATAATTCTTTTTTTTTTTTGTCAAAAAATAGATTTTGTTAGATTAGCCACATGATTTGAACCCACATTGTCATGCAAGGCTAACACTTTTCTACCACTGCGGTAAATGCCACTTGCATATAATATACCTATTTTTCAATTTTTACAAAGCTAACGTAGCTACAAAAATAATTTATCTAATGTTTAATAATTAGGAAAATAATTTACTTTTTTTTTTACAACAATAACGTATCTAGAAATTTATTTTTGTATGACATAACGTATCTACTATTTTATGTTTTCTAAAGAAATAATTTTTTTTCCTCTTTTTTTTTTTTGGTTGGCTAACTTATTTTTGTTGCATTCCTCCTTCCTCTAACCCAATTACTAATTCTTTTTTACAGTTACTGAATCATTAATTATGTTTCTAATTTGAATTTTGAATTTTCAAATTCTTGTTAGTTTTGTTTTGTTTTCAGATAATAAATTTTTGCTAGCTTTGAAGATAGGAATTTGGGATAATCCTTAAAATTATATTTAAAATTTAAAATTACCTGATACCAGCCATAGATTATTAGATTTTGGTCAAAAAGAATCACCACCTACTACCACTCTTACATTTTTTTTTTCACTTTTTCAGAAATACCTTTTTTTTGCATGGAACATGCACATTGCACGTGTTTCACCTCTCAGGCGCGCAATTCAGATTGACTTTGTCCACTCGTTTGACGCCCAGCTTCATAAAGAAAGCTTCACAAAAAAATTAAAAATTCACATGATTTGTTTATTTTTCTTGGTTAAATCATTTTTTTTTTTTAAATTAGGGTTATAACTTATATCACCGATTCACCTACAAAGATTAATTTTATGTTTTACAGTTAGGATTAACTCAATCGGTGAGAGTAGTGGGAAAAGTACTGTAAAATTAAGTTAGATCAAATGTTCGATTATGCTCATTATAACAAAAGAACCTAATTATCGGAATACCTAATTATCGGAATATTGCTTCTCAATGTTTGACAACACCAGATCTAAAAAAATGTAAGTTCTTTCATTTTTACAGTTTGTCTGACAACACCTCGTATCAAAAAGGTGCAACTTCTTTTCGTTCCAAGAAGCTGTAATGTAATTTGCACCGGCGAAAATGTCTACTAAGCATAACCGAAATACAAATTTACCGCCCTGTCTTAACAGAATTACGAAATTTTGACCATTGGACCGTCATACTTATATAGTAACTTATATTTGAAAAAACCACAAGAATTTACTTATCATCTATTTTCTCTCTCCTCAGAAGTAACAACCAAAAAAAGGATAAAAAAAAAGAAAGGAATTATATATTAGGATAATGTTTCCGTCATAGGATATATCAATGCTGCGAAACAACATCAAGAGTCTTTTAACAGTTTCTGAACTCCCCAAAATCTACTTGGAATATCTCCCTCTTCCTCTCTCTCTCTCCTCTCTTTCTCTCTCTACCTCCGTGTCTGTGCACATGCAAACTCCAAAAGAGCGCCTCCGATGAAGCACACCAGAGCACGCCAACCCACCACCCATGCCGTCAGTCCCCACTCTTTTCTATGACGAACCTACCCTTCTCCTCCCTCCGCACCACCACCTTCATCATCATCACCGCCGCCATCCTCTTAGCCGTTATCCCACCATCAGCTCATGCCCTCGGCTCCGGCTCAACCCTTGCCGTAATATCCGCTACCGGCACCGTCTGTGGTGTCGTTTCGGACCAACCGCGGCTGCGCATCGTCTGCTACCGCCGCGGCCAAACCGTCGAGGTCGAGCCCAACATTTCATTCTTAGCCATCTCCGGCGGCCGAACCTCCCTCTGCGGCATCCGCTCCGGCGGATACAGCCTCCTCTGCTGGGACAACATCACCTCCCAAAACTCCACCTTCCAATCCAAACGCCTTTACTTCAACAGAACCGTTCCGTTAGAAAATCTCGCAGTCGGCGACGACCATATCTGCGCCAGAACCGTCGACACAGACACCGTAGAATGCTGGCGGCCCAACTTGCCATCTGGGTCGGACCAATTCTCCTCGATTTCATCTGGATCGGGCTTCTCCTGCGGAATTCTGAAACACAGCCTCCATGTTCGATGCTGGGGCAGAGCAACTGCAATGGCGGAAGAAATACAACACGGGTTCGGAAACATGTCAATGGCGACCATCACAGCTGGCGAGTCGCATGTGTGTGGGATCAACACCACCGGGCTTCTGGTCTGCAGGGGAAGCAATGGCGGCGGTCAGTTGAACGCCCCTTCTGGCTCGCCTTTTGAGTACTCCGCTCTGTCACTCGGAGCAAATCACAGCTGCGCAATCAGAACTCATAATCAAACAGTCGTCTGCTGGGGAGGAATGGGCCAGTTTTCAATTAACAAAACAAGTGGAGTGTCTTTTCAAATTTTAGCTTCTGGGTCGGATTTCATATGTGGATTAACCACCAGGAATTTTTCGATTGTTTGTTGGGGTCCGGGCTGGCCCATTCTCTCCGGTTCAGAATCAGGCGTGGAGCTCGAATTGCCCGAAATTCTCCCCGGTTCTTGTGTTAATTCCTCCTGCAGTGAATGTGGAATTTACCCTCAGTCTCAAAGACTCTGTTTTGGTACTGGTAACATTTGCAACCCCTGTTTTCCTCCAATTTCAGTGCCCCCAACAGCATTACCACCGCCGCCATCAACACCGCCACCGACGTCAACGCGGCGGTCTGCGACGTTGACTACTGGTTTATTGGTGTTTGCCATTGTGGGTTCTGTCGGGGGATTTGCAGGTATTTGTACAGTTATTTATTGTTTGTGGATTGGCGGTTGTTTTGGGAACAAGAAGATTCATAATTCAGTTCAGCCGACAATTACTAGAGCTGCAAGCTCAAACAATGGCAATGGGACAACGTCAAACAATAGTCCTCCGTCGAGATCGTCCACCATCCGCCGCCAGGGCTCGAGGATCATGCGGCGGCAGAGGAGCGGAACATCCTCGAAGCACCCTGACAGGGCGGAGGAGTTTTCACTGTCCGAGCTCGCGGCCGCCACGAATGACTTCTCAATGGAGAACAAGATTGGCTCCGGAAGCTTCGGAGTTGTATACAGGGGCAAACTGCAAGACGGCCGGGAAGTTGCGATCAAGCGAGGCGAAACCGCCTCGAAGATGAAGAAGTTTCAGGAGAAGGAGAGGGCATTCGATTCGGAAGTTGCCTTCTTGTCGAGAGTTCATCACAAGCACCTCGTGAGGCTTGTCGGATATTGCGAAGAGAGGGATGAGAGGCTTTTGGTATATGAGTACATGAAAAACGGTGCGCTTTTCAATCACTTGCATGACAAGAACAATGTGGAGAGGAGTAGCAGTTTGTTGAATTCGTGGAGAGTGAGGATCAAGGTTGCATTGGATGCTTCAAGAGGCATTGAGTATCTGCACAATTACGCCGTGCCGCCTATCATTCATCGAGATATAAAATCATCGAATATCTTGCTCGACGCGAATTGGACCGGGAGGGTGTCTGATTTCGGGTTGTCGTTGATGGGGCCGGACTCAGAGGCGGATTTTAGGCCAACGAAGGCGGCAGGGACGGTTGGCTACATTGATCCGGAGTACTATGGACTCAACTTGTTGACAACAAAGAGCGATGTCTATGGATTTGGTGTGGTGCTATTGGAGCTTCTGACGGGGAAGAGGGCCATATTTAAGGATGCGGAGAACGAGGGGACGCCTATAAGCGTGGTGGATTTCGCAGTGCCGGCGATTATGAGCGGGGAGTTGGTGAGGGTTTTGGACAGGAGGGTTGGGCCGCCGGAGGTGAATGAATCGGAGGCGATTGAGCTGATGGCGTATACCGCAATGCATTGCGTGAATTTGGAAGGGAAAGATAGGCCGACGATGGCGGACATTGTGGCGAATTTGGAGAGGGCGTTTGCTCTCTGCGATGAAAGCCCCGGCAACATCTCTAGTGGTGGAAACTCCATTGTGTCTGCAGAGTAAGAGTGAGTAAAATGTGCTTCCTTCCCATTAAAGAAAGAATTGAATTATTTCTTCAAATTTTGTCAAATTTTTAGGGGATAAATTGAATGGATTTAATTAAGATTTTTACCATTGGGGGTTGTAAAAAGACTAGAGATTTAGGGGGTTCTATCTAACCTTGCTGTAGTGTAACATTTTGTAAGCACTAACAGCTAGAAAAATATAGCCCTTGGTTGCAATTTTCAAGTGATGCCTAATTTTTTTTTTGTTTTTTTACTTTTAAATGTGTATGCCAAAGCATTCAACTAGGGTCATACCATAAAACGAGCCAATTACATAATATCACGTCGTCAGTTACTTGCTATATAAGTTTCGACAGTGTAATACGAATAACATGTCAATGATTGATATGCTTATTAATATTAAATGATCGGACCAGTCAACTGACCAAGCAATTGAGTATTTGTGGTGTGATTTGAACAAGGCACAATTCATTTGGGTGGGTGTCCTCATTCACAGAAAGGTGCATGACAATACTGTCTTGGCAGATGAGAGAGTCAAAGATTGTGACACAGAAGTTTGGCTTTCCAAAAACCATAGGGATTTCTCTTAATAAATGTGTTTTTCTTTCTTCTTCTTCTTCTTCTTCTTCTGCTTTTTGCGAAGTCAGCCGAAGACTACAAAGCCTGCGGTTTGTAGTCGAGAGCGGTAGCCAGTAGCAGTATGTTTTGTGGCACACAAAAAAAGAGAATTTTCCAATGTCATGAGTCATAAGGTATGGTCCATCACGAAAGGGGAAGGAAAAGTACCAGTCTATAACTTTGAATCTCAGATTAGTTTACACGTCCAACACTTTGACTCGGAAATTCTAACAAGGCTGCCAAATTGGTTAAGCCCATGTGTTCTCTTAATCAATCGACACGTGTAGGATCAAGATCCATTCTCCGAGGAAATAGGATTATCTCCTCTCTCATTCTCATCTTCATCCATTTCCTCCTCTCGCACATTACTTTTTATCTTATTGTCTCTATAAATAAATCAATATAAGATGTTGATGTGTCTTAACTGTGATTGTTCAAATAAGAGGAGAGGGAAGGGGAGAGAGATTAGAAGTGAAGAGAATCCTCCTCCTTATCTGAGAGATTTTCTGAGTGACGGAAACACGGCCTGGTTCATCTAGTTATAACATATGTGGTTGGAAATTTGAAAAAATTTCAACCAATTATATAATACTTGGTGTACTAAACCATATCTTTATTTTTTTTTTTTCATTCCCTACACAGAAAGGGCGTATACTTATGACCACGAACAAAAGTTCTAAGGCATTTTGGAGTATGAGATATAGTATATATGCTCAGGTTGTTTAACCATTATATCTTCTTCTTCTTTTTTGAACAAAAATCTAACGGCTAAAACACCCCTGTCAGACATAAGTTTCTCTCATATAAAAGGCATGCCTAGTCGCTTAGTACTATGGTCTAGTAATATTTCTCTTTACTTAGAAGTGAGATGTCTTAGGTTCGAATTTTGTGAATAACGAATTTGATACTAAATTAAGTTGTCCATTATGTAGTTTAGCTAAACTCTTCCTCATATAATTATTATAAAAATATCTATGTGCTAAAAAAAACAAAAAAAAAGCCCTGCTAGTACGTGTCCATAAATTAAAGCGGTGCCTCATTGAGTAATGAGAGACTTTAATATGAAAGCATAACATTTATAGATTAATATATGCATGCTGCTGTTATTTTTGTATAGGAGTATGAACGCAATGTATGGATTGTGGACTGGGGGTGGCCGGTGACCACCTCTACTGTGTGGATTATATATTTATTGAGACGCTTGTGGAAGACCGTCGACAATTATAATTGTCGCTTCAATACTTTAAATATTACGCAAACATGCATGATCATGTAACGTCTTTGTCGATGGTCCCGTTACAATAGATTGCAATTTTCCTTCTTGCATTAGTGTGTATCAAAGATGGCTTATATTTCTTAATGTATGTATTGTGGAGGAGAAAGGGAAGGAGACTGTTGAAATAATAACCAGATTTTAGGTAGCTCGGAATTCAGGCTAAATTAATTAGAAATGCAGCACAAAACATTAGACAGATGATTTGAAATAACTACATGCAAACTACTTGAAATGAGTAGTTTGGGTTTTTGTGTCTTTTTTTAAAACTGCTTATGTTCTGATGTGAGAATAAACATGTGGAAAACTTTTTTGAGAAGTATGTGTAAAGCTGCTTCTGCTTTTTGTTGTTTTGGTTTTGGATCCATGATTTCAAAAGTTAAAAAAAAAAAAACACATTTTTTTTATTTACCAAACACAGTTAAACTCCCAACTTTTTTGAGAAGCTACTTTTAAGAAGTTTAAGCAACCCAAAATCAACCCTAAAAATTCGTTACTTATTAGCCTCGTAATGCTTATGTAAGTCAGTAAGTGCATCTTTAATCATCTTCTAATGTTTTGAAGGGAATTTCTACCTGATTTATTATGAATTTGGATTTGAAATTTCTAGTCCAAGCACACTATTTGGGAAAATGATTTTCGCATCGATATATTTTCTTCCCCATCCTTTTGTTTATATTCTTTAAATTTTCCTCTCATTTGTTTTGGCTAAAAAAATGAAAAAGTGTGGGAAAATAAACATGAGTAACTCAATTGCGTTACAAATTTGAAAGATTGATCAAACACTTGGACTAATGAATTAGCCACTTGAATATGGAGTTGAAAGGGTTAAAAAAGTCAATATCTACTAACTCTCTAGAACTTTATAGGGCCCTGGCTGTCCTAGGGTAGGACCAGTTGGACTAAAATTAGTCAATCTTTGTTGGTGTTGGTGTTGGTGATGGTGACACACACTTAAACATAATTAAGTAAAGTCATTAGGCCCACTGAGGGGGCAAGGAAAATTCCATAAAATTCACTCCTCTTTTCATCATGATTTAATTCATACAAAAGGGGCATATTTAATAAGCTTTTGTTATGTGAAGATGGTAGTAGGAGGACTTTGTTGACCTTAATTTCTTGCATGCTCTTTTGCCTTGTAATTTGGTGTCACAGTTCACAAACCTTTTCACACGGCCTTGTTTCTTTCTCCTTCTCCTTTTGTCTATTCAATTTATGCTTAAACAAAAAGCCAAAAATGGACCATCGATTCCTAAACTATGACCTAATTGATGAGCATTATTTCTTAAACATGCTATAATGTGGGGTGATGATCATTTTTGATAAAAATAAGGATCAGAAGTTTCAAACCCAAAAAGATCATCGCAAAATATCATAATAAGTTCAAAGATCTATACTTGCAAATTCTTAATTTAAAGACCAAAGCTCCAATTCAGTCAACGTCCAGAAACCAATTCCCCAATTTCTCAAACAAAAAAGAGGTGCAATATACGTTCCACATGACGTAGGAAGGGTAATTTCTTCTTTGTAATTTTTATTTTGTAAGAAACAAAGGACCAAGTCAAGCATGTACAAACTGTTCAAATAAATTTCAACGAGCCATCACGCTAAAATTTTGTTTGAACGTTGTCTCGCTGTCGAAATTGTTAAATTTTGTCGACTTGAAGAAGTCTGTGCTGAAGAAGTCATGCACAAAATAACATTTCAAGGAAGTTGCAACCAACTATAAGGACTAACTAGTCTTCGATTTGCTAGTCATACTAGTATAGGGTGCAAGGGGCCGAGCATTGACGCGACTAAAAATGTTGCTCTTTTGTGACAAAAAAGTCACGGGTTTGAGTCATGGAAACAACTCTTTGTAAAGTGGGAGCCTTATTGAATTAGGATTGCCTTTTACTATATTAGGGTACAAATAAGGCCGAAATTCCGGCTACATTCTTCAGAAAGCTCTTGGTGACACCATTTTCTTGATCGTGAAAAAAAAAAAAGAACCTCAAATCGGTATCAGGTGTATATGTATTACCTTGGTCAAGGTTTTCATTGGTTACAGTCAAGGGTATCTTCTTTCTCATTTCTCTTCAACTTTGTTCAATCAGTCATTAAGTCGGAGAAGATAAATGTATCCGTAGTATGATAAGGCGACTAAAACCACCAAGAGGATGTTCAAAGTGCTCAAGTTTTTCTTTCTAGGAAAGGAAATATGTACTTGCAACGTTAAAACTTTACTCCTTAAACTAAATATTTATGAGTATTATTTTATAAACATGCTGAAATGTGGAGTAATGATCATTTTGGATAACAATGTTAAACTCTTTTCCAAAATAAAGGGTTTTAAGTTGTTAGTAAGGATCATAAGTTTCAACAGTTTTACCAAAAAAGATTACTGCTCCACATAATAAATTCAAGGACCAGTACTCACAAATTCTTAGTTTAAGGATCAAAACTCCAATTCAGTCAACATTCAGAAACCAATTTCTAGTTTTCTCAAACAAAAAGAATGTTCAACATACATTTCACATGACGTTGGAAAGATCATTTTTTTCTTTTTAATTTTTATTTTGTAAAACAGAGGACCAAGTCAAGCATGTAGTTCAAATAAATTTCAATGAGACATCACCCCAAAAATTTGTTTGAATGTGTCTCGCGGTCGAAATTGGTAAACTTTATCGGCTTGAAGAAGTCATGCACATACTAACATTTCGAGGGTGTTGCAGTTGTAAGGACCAACTGGTCTTTGATTTGCTAGTCCTACGAGTATAGGGCACAAACGAGGCCAGACATTCCGGCTACATTCTGCAGACAGCACTTGGTGACACCATTTTCTTGATCGTGAGGAAAAAAGAACCTCAAATAGGTATTGCTGTATAATGTACTACCTTGGTCGTCGAGGTTTACATTGGTTATATTCGGGGGTATCTTCTTTCTCGTTTCCCTTCAACTTCGTTTCATCCAATCATCAAGCCGGAGGAGACAATTGTGTTCATAGTATGATACAGCAACTAAAACCACCAGGAGGCAGTTCAAAGTGCTGAGTCTTTCTTTCCAGGAAAGGAACTACGTACTTGCAACGTCGAAATTTGCGCCCTGTTGCGCCCGTTCTTCCGCTTTGGTCCTTGCTTATCATTTAACTGTTTGAATTTCAAGATCTTACCTCCACAGTTTTTAGAGCACTTCTGGGGTGATGAGCGAGCGCTGACCACCAGGATGACAAATCTCTGGGCACGCATGAGTACAATCAGTGCGATACTATCAATATTTTCGTGAAACTATCTGAAAAATCAAAGATATGGAAAGATGTGAAGTCTAAATTTCATTACATATCGGAGAAATTC